TCTCGCACCCCATGCTCACCTGCATGGATGCAGAGCAGGGCCCGTGATTGAGCCCGAAGTTTTACCAAGCCAACTTCCTATTGTATTTTACTTTTGGCGCAATGGAAATGGCCTCACCTGCCAAGTGCGTATTGAGGAAGCAACACTAACAATTGAATAGGCCCACTCACCAATTGGTTTTGTAAGGTAACAAGTTGTAACCCCCTCCTTTGGGACAATGCGACACGACATCAAAATGCAATGCAGAACTGCTGCAGTTCCGATGGGAGGGGGGTATGTGGAGCAGGAGAGCTCCGCCTGATGTCTCTAAGTACAGGGTCTCCGTCTGCTTAGCAGGTCTGAGCATGTTCCTGTAGCAGGCTTACACTTATCAGAGCTTCATTGTGTTTCTGAATATGCCTGGTTTGGTGAGCAATGCACTCAGCTCCCACTTCCATGTGTTCTCTCGAAAGGTCTAGTTCTGTCACAGCTGGCTGGTTTGCAGCTTTGGGGCCTCCTTTGGCACAAGAAGGATTGCTAAGATTAAAAAATGCTTGCAGTGTGATTTATGTCAAGTGGCTCCTGACAGGCATCTTAAATAAGAATCCAGTCAGAGCAGGAGCTGACCTGTTACAGATTTTCAGGCATTTGTTTAGCCGTATAACTGAAACAAAGAAGAAAAACATTACCAATGATGCATTTTTCGTGGTAAACATTTCGTATTAAAGGCTTAAGCAACAAAAATGAATGATCATTCAAATGAATTTTATTCACCTCACCCTTTTGGTTGAGTCAGTCACGGATGAAATTATAAATTCTTTCATTACTTAGTGCTTGTTTATGTCTTGCCCGGGTTCCTAGAGACTGTTTTTGGCCCATGTGAAAGGTGGTGTTCGCCCAGTTCTCACATCACATTTGACACTAAGGCTCTGTCTACATTATGGGCTAGGGCTGTGATTACCCAGTTCACATCACATACGCGGAGTAGCTCTCATCAAAGTAGCATAAGTATAAATAGCAGTGTAGCCATGGTAGCACTGGTTCCAACAGCAGGGACACGGCTGAACCATGCAAAGCACATGCCCACCGGTTCCATGAGGGTTTGTGCTCAGCATGGCTCAGACATGCCTCCACTGCCTCTACCTGTGCTACTGCGGCTATGCTGCTATTATACTACAGCTAGCTCGATGGGAGTACGTGTGCACAAGCAGGGGAATCCCATCCCCAGCTCGTAGTGTAGGCCTAGCCTAATAGTAAATGGGTCCCCTAACTGGCAATCCCAGCCAACAGACCAAGGACCGAATGGGCATGGAGAATGATCTACCTTCTTATCGCTTGAGCTAGTTCCTCTATGGGAGGCAGAGCAGCTGCATTGCCTCTGTCTGTGCTGTTCCTAGTCTGTGAATAGAGGACGTCCCACTCCAGGGCTGGAAATCTGGCACCACATTCACTTAGAAAATTGGAGAACAATATAAAAAGGATTGAAGATGTCATTGCCATTAGTCACTGTTTATAATTGTGCAGTAGATGGATTCTTATATTTTAAAAAAGGGTAAACAGGTGGTGCCTTGTGTGCCCAGGTTGTAGACATCTGTCTGTCAGTGACCCGGAGAATAAGCTCAGACTGAGGAATGTTAGGTTGGTGGCGGTCCAAGAAAGAACTGAATCAGAAACTGAGAAATTATTCTTATTTTGGCATGATGAGAAAAACGGTAGAAAGGGCTCCTCTGACTTTCCCTGTGCAATGGAGTGTGATTTGTTGCATTCCACCAGTCAACACTTCCCACTCTTATCCTCTGGCACGGGGTGAAATCCTGCCTCCTCCTCTTCCTCCTCCCCCACCCCGCCTTCAAGCCTATGAGAGTTTTGCCAGTGACTTTGATGGGGACAGGTTATTCAACATAAAAGTGACCCTTTTCAGATTCAGTGGCATTTGTTCTTTCACCAGAATAATAGCCCCATTTCATTTCAGTGCCATGCATGTATCTAAGGCCCTGATCATGCAAACATGTATGCACATGCTTAACTTTACTGCTGTGAGCAGTCCCATTGATCTCAATGGGACCATCATTCACAGGAGTAGAGTTAAGCATGCATATGTGCCAGCAGGATTGGGGCCTTAATCAGGGCTGCACTGAGATCAATGGGACTGCATTTTGTGCGGCTCCCTCTTGCCACATTATAGATCAACATTGAGACACCCACACACCACACTCCCCAATACACACACATCGTTCACCCCAAGCTTAACAACAAAGCAGCTGATGATTCTGTGTTCTAATAAGGAAATAACTTATCTCCTTCTGCTGCTGGTGGCATCATGAGGGGATAATAAGTAAAATTGCTAATGTGTCTTTAAAAGTCAGTTTAATATGGGATCTCACACTAAAAATTTATAATCATCTGGTTATTGCATGGTGTCACTATAGGGAAGAATTAAGGTTGTAGGGATGCCCTGAATGCATGTAATGATTTTTACCCTTATCTTACTGATACATACTCTCAACCTTAACTCCCTCTTAATATAGATGTTTTTCTGGGACAATCTCCTGTACATCTTGTTAAACGATAAATACACAGCAGCTGTACGCAGCAACCTCTCAACTTCTCTGCTTCTAGTTGCCAATTTCTTGTTGTCATTGTGGAAAAAGTGCCTCCTGTGGTATCAACAGGTGTAGCCAAGGCAGTTAATTGACCCACCGAGCCACCTTAACCCCTTCAGGCCTTGAGTGGGGTGGCCAACCCATCACAAGTTCCCATGGTGACGATCCATTATTCCCACTTGCTGAAAACCTGGGCAGTTCCATATAAATTGGTGTGGCTGGCGGTAGAAACTCTATATTCCTACTGCTCAAGCCACAGAAACAGGCCTTAGGGTGAGCAAAAGCACTGACTTCCAGTTCTCATGGAACTGGAGCCTCATTATGTTTATGACTATTTAGCTGAATAAGCACTGGAGGGAATCAGGAAATGGAACAGGGCAAGTAAGCAGAATTCTGGTTTCAGATTTCTGCACATGTATACACAGTAAAGGGTACATTTACATAGAATGCCTGTTGTGTTTGTGGTGAGTGGAGATGCCTGAATTAAATCCCTGGATATGAACACTCTCAAGCGGTGAGGAAGTTTGGATCTGTATCCAAATTTTGTCGATAGCTCATAGCTCTGTTACAGGCTTAACTCACAACCCATGTGTTAGCACCCTCAGACCATGAGAAACTGGAGCTGTGCCTCGCTGTTGCCTCTTAAGGTTTGTCCATTGCTAGTTTGTGTTTGAATATTATTATATAGAGAGTTATGCAGCATACACTGCAGGGGCTAGGCAAACAGGAATTTTGCCTAGCATAACTTTCTTGTAAATTCAGTTCTGAAGGAAGGTACATTCGTCCTGGCCTTGGGTGCAATGGTATTCAGACTGCAATCTGAAGCCATGGGGAGGGATTCTCCTTTCACTTTGGCTATTGCACAGAGGCTATCAAAAGTCCATAAGCTGGCTGGGAGAATTCTTCGGACACTGGCACAGTATAGGACTGCTGAAGGCTGACCTGCATAGGCCCCTTCACAAACTCCAGCCTTGGGGTGTGTTAGGCCAGAGCCAAGACAGGAGGGGGTGTGTTGGGAGCAGGACAGCCTACACTGTTACAGAGATTCTCATCTTAATAGAACTGAACAGCCCTGAGATGGGAGGGAGGGAGGGCAGTGCTGTGAAGTAGAGCTGCTCCTATATTCCCTGCTCTACTTAGGGAGCTGCACCCTGGGTTGAACTTTGCTGTACTGCATCTTCTGGAGCTGCAGCACAGAATCTCAGCCTTTGTGTTTACACAGTCGGAGTGTGTCCCGGGCATTAACTGAAGCACTTCTATACGACTTATGGGGTGACAAGAGTATCACAAGATTTTTGCTGTGTTAAACCAGTTACCAGGCACTTCTCAGATGATAAAAGTTGGTATTTTGAGGAACAGAATTAGCACTGCAACAATCATTTTACATTTCTTTATTGTTGCCTAGTAGATATGTGAATATATAGCTACAAATAAAATGAAAGATTCATAGATTCTAGGACTGGAAGGGACCTCGAGAGGTCATCGAGTCCAGTCCCCTGCCCTCATGGCAGGACCAAATACTGTCTAGACCATCCCTGATAGACATTTATCTAACCTACTCTTAAATATCTCCAGAGATGGAGATTCCACAACCTCCCTAGGCAGTTTATTCCAATGTTTAACCACTGTGACAGTTAGGAACTTTTTCCTAATGTCCAACCTAGACCTCCCTTGCTGCAGTTTAAACCCATTGCTTCTTGTTCTGTCCTTAGAGGCTAAGATGAACAAGTTTTCTCCCACCTCCTTATGACACCCTTTTAGATACCTGAAAACTGCTATCATGTCCCCTCTCAGTCTTCTCTTTTCCAAACTAAACAAACCCAATTCTTTCAGCCTTCCTTCATAGGTCATGTTCTCTAGACCTTTAATCATTCTTGTTGCTCTTCTCTGGACCCTCTCCAATTTCTCCACATATTTCTTGAAATGCGGTGCCCAGAACTGGACACAATACTCCAGCTGAGGCCTAACCAGCGCAGAGTAGAGCAGAAGAATGACTTCTCGTGTCTTGCTCACAACACACCTGTTAATCCATCCCAGAATCA